GGCGGGCGAGGAAATGGACGAGTCTTCGCTGCTGGACCTGCTGGAGTGCTCCGTGTGCTTGGAGCGCCTGGACACCACCGCCAAGGTGCTGCCCTGCCAGCACACCTTTTGCCGCCGCTGCCTGGAGAGCATCGTGTGCTCCCGCCACGAGCTGCGCTGCCCCGAGTGCCGCATCCTGGTGGGCTGTGGTGTGGACGAGCTGCCCGCCAACATCTTGCTGGTGCGCCTGCTGGACGGCATCCGCCAGAGGCCCCGTGCGGGCGGCAGCGGCACGGGTAGCGGTAGCGGCAGCAGCAGTAACGGTGGCAGCCCCACTGCGCGCCCTTATCCGGGCGCAGCCCCCGCGCTAGGGGGCGGTGGCGGTGGTGCAGCAGGCAGTGCCCCCGGTTCCCCAGTCTTTCTCCCCGCGGCGGCAGCGGGCACCGGCGCGGCGGCAGGCAGTGCCACCTCCAGCCTGCGGGAATTGGCGGCTGCCAGCAGGAGCGCGCCTTTGGCAAAGGTGGGTGTGTGCCCCGCGGCGCAGCGCCACGGAGGGTATGAGTGTATGTGGGTGTTTGTGAGCGCGCCTGGGTAGGGGGAAACAGTGGTGAGGGGCAAGGGAGGCGAGAGGGTGCCTTCCACGTTGGCCCACTCCCTTACCTTGCTCTTCTTTCCCCAACTTCCTTTCTCTCAAGTGAGTCGGTGGGTGTCCCTATTTAATTCCCGTTTCTTAACTCTTGGACATTGTGACCCTCGCCCCCACCCGGCGCCCGCTCACTGTTACTTTTGAACTTCTTGTTCTCAGCACCTGCCGTCCGCCCTCCCCCTCTGGAATTCCTTCTCCCGCCACCTGCACTCTCTTGGCAGTGGCATCTGGTCCCAGTGAACCTTGCCACCTGTTCATAGCCCACAGATTCAGTGTGCCAGGACCCCATCCTCCCGCGGGCGTGGGCTCTCTTCCTGCCCCATTGCTCATCCCTAACGCCTGGGCTTTTAAACTTTGTTCCTCCTTTCCATCTTCCCAGAAACTGCCGCCTTATTCTAGTCGCCCAGACTCGCCCTCTGAATGCACACCCTCAGGCTGGTTGTTTGGCCCCCCTAGGGGTAAAGGTAGTTCTTCAGATTTTCTTGCTTTTGATAGCGAAAAAGACAGCGGGACTCCTGCCTGCGTGTTGGGCAGGAGAGAGCAGAGTGGTGTGTGACGGGATTTGGAAACTCCATTTTAGCGGGAGGGAAGGAGTTAACCCAGAGGCCCCAGGAGAGTTTTGGCCATGCCCTTCTCATAGACTTGGCAGTGTCTGTCGGGAAGCATTGGTTCTCTCCTCGGCTCCTAGCGGGGTAAGAGTTGGATTCCCACGTGGGTAGTTAGTTTGGGCTTTGCTTTTGTGCAACGACATTGTACAGCGTCCACTGCTTCTGTTTGAGTGAAAGGACCTTCTCTTGAGGGCTTCAGTGATGTGGTTTCAAAAGCTTCTTAGAACTTGCCATTACACACCCTCAGCTGCCTTGGGAACCGTTATGGCGGGGGGGTGGGGGGTTAGCCCATGGGATGCTGGTTTACAGGAGAAACAAGTTACCCATGTTTTGTATTTTCTTTAAGGGCAGAAAAGCCCATTTAAGGGCTAAAAAATTACATTGTTAATGAATTGGAATTACTTATTTTAGAAACAGCTTCGTTCCTCTATTTTTGACCATGTAAAGAGTGAATGATGCATAAAACATTTAGATAATCCTTCTAATATGTATAATTCTGAAATGCTGGGAAAATTTTAGCATCTGGATTACACAGTAACACATCTCTAATATTAGGAACGTAAGCTCTTGGATGCTGAGCTTCAGAGTTAAATGTCGCATTTTGCCAAACACTGTTTTTCCCATGGATGGGGAAGAGTTGGCACTGGGCCCAGTTAGGGAATATTCATTCTTCAGATCACTGAATTAAGCTGTTTTTCTTTAATTTTAATGTTGATTAAATACACTTACATGCTGTTGTCACAGATTTTCAAACGTTTCCTTCCAGTCCTTACTGTTTTTGTCTAGGGTACTGTAATCATTGTTTGCAAAACAAACAGGTTGCCTTCTCCTGCTCAGAGAATTACATGATTTTGGTGCTGACCGTGTATTTACAGCTGTCATCCCAGTTCAATGTATGTGAATTGTATTTGACCGGGAGATTAGAAGGTAACTCCTACAGCTCTAAAGGTTGAAGCCTTGAGGCCGATCCTGGAATTCTGTGGCATTTACAGCATTTTTTAGGACTTGTCAAAGGTACTGAAGCTTCTAACTTTTAGTAATGACGCTTAGTAACAGGAAAGTAGTTTTTGTTGACTAGATTTGGGGACTATTGATTGACTTTCTCTATGGGCACATGACGTTATTGGACTATGTTGTTGACTTTCTATGCTGTAGGGAAATTTTAGAACACATTTTCTTTTTTCCTTTCTTTTTTCTTTTTTTCTGCATTGACTAAGTGTAACCCTTAGTTCTTTCTACAGATCCACCTTGAAGAGACTAGATTCGGGTTCTAGAAAGAGTATGAATTAAATCTAATCTTACGTATGATGGTTTGCAGAGAGGAAGAGTGGTGGTGGTGGGGGGGATTGGAATACCATCTAGAGTCTCATCCACTCATTTTTAATAATGGCCAATGGAAGTCTTCTTGGTCAACCAGAAGTCTTGCATGTTATATTCACACTGCTATTCTGGGTAATAGCATTTAGGTTTCTAGTGCATTCTTATTTCATGGAATGGGGGTAGAAGGAAGGGGTTGCAACAGAGCATTGCTTTCAGCTAAGAAGTACTTCCAAGCAGGCTTTAAGTCCTTACTGTCCACTGGAATTGCTTTGACTCCTATAGCAAAGCTCAGTGTTGCTGCATGTTGTTATGCTTGAGCCCATTGTTACAGCCACTGTTTCAATCCATATCGTTGAGGGTCCTCCTCTCTTTCAGTGATCCTCTACCAAGCATGACATCCTTCTCCAGGAGATGATCCCTCCTGATAACATGTCCAAGGTATGTGAGACGTAGTCTCGCCATCCTTGCTTCCAGGGAGCAGCATTATGGTTGTACTTCTTCCAAGACAGATTTATTGGTTCTTTTGGCAGTCCATGGTATATTCAGTATTCTTCACCAACACCACAATTGAAAGGCGTCAATTCGTCTTCAGTCTTCCTTATTCATTGTCGGGCTTTTGCATGCATATGAGGCAACTGAAAGCACCATGGCTTGGATCAGGTGCACCTTAGTCTTCAAGGTGACGTCTTTGCTTTTTAACACTTTAGAGAGGTCTTTTGCAGCAGATTTGCCCAATGCAGTGTGTCTTGATTTCTTGACTGCTGCTTCCATGGGTGTTGATTGTGGATCCAAGTAAAATGAAATCCTTGACAATTTCAATCTTTTCTTCATTTATCATGATGTTGCGTATTGGTCCAGTTGTGAGGATTTTTGTTTTCTTTATGTTGAGGTGTAATCCAAACAGAAGGCTATGGTCTTTGTTCTTCATAAGTAAGTGCTTCCAGTCCTCTTCACTTTTAGCAAACAAGGTTGTAAATAAGCTTCTTAGGTATGTAGATAAAGAAATGTATTTTTTTAGATTGTTTACTTAATTAATTTAGTTACACTTATATGTTTGGAATGCATTTTGTATAAAATAAATTACTTTCTCTTTGTTTCCACTTGCCTTTCGTGAAACACTGTTTCTCAAACTTTTCATTGGCATCTTTTTCCCTCAGGTTTTTGGTTATCACCAGAGTTACTTTGGAGTCACCCAACCTGGTTGGCAGAGCCTCTCAGCTTTACTTTCACCTGAGCCATTTGAGATAGGGTTTTTTTTTTTTTTTTTGGTCATCAGTTAATGATGCTGCTGCTGGGAATTTTATACTGAGTTACAGGTACCCACTGCCTAACTTTAGAACTGTTTCTGTTTTCATTTTCCCTATTGGCAAATACTTGTCATTAGTTACTGAGTCTTAAAGTGGTCTTTAAGAAGTCCTGTTTTAAAAGTAACATCGAACAGTTACAATTGTGAAGTCATACTTTAAGGATGCGAAATGGGCGCTAAATTTCCGAGCCTAACTTGTTTGTGTTTGTGTTTTGTTTTTACAGTTTTACAAGGTGACCCCTCTACCTCTAGCACCCCAAACAAGCATTGACCGAGGTGTTTCAGGGCAAAGTGTCTTTCTAAAAGGGTTTTGTGGTTCCGAATTGAGTAATTTAAAAAGTGCTTTTTAATGTGAGAGATTTAGTAAGGACTCAAATGTAAGATAATCCCAATTTTTTTCTTAAATTTTTTTTTTTTTTAAATCATTTGCTTTATATTTGGGTTTTGCAAGGCTGTGAGCTTTTGGATGCAGATGGCCAGGCCTTTCTTCTGAGGTGCCTCTGGGTGGGTTTGAACGGCCAACCTTTCAGTTAGTAGTCAAATATTTAACCATTTGTGCCTCCCAGGGACTCCTGTATTTGGGCATATACAGTATTTATTATGTATAACACTGTGCCAGGCACCATCTAGGGGAAAGAGACAGACAAAAGCTCTTGTCTGACATATGGGAATGGAAGCCCTCTGATCCCTACTCTCAGGAGGGCTTGGTATAAATCCAGAACTCTATGAAGTTTAAGAGGAAGGACATTTTCACGAATTAAAGAACTATAGAAAGCTTGGACAATGCCTTTGATGATGTAAAACTTAGGTGTTATAGCCTAATTAGTTTGCCTTTATTGTGTATCTCAAAGTACTGCAGGGTATGTTGAAATTGGATCCATTGGAAGTCTCTTCTATTTCTCTCAGCCAATGTGACTGGGACCCAGTAATGGAAAAAGTCAGATAAATTGGAGAATCATAAAAATGATGCCTATATTAAATACTTTAGCTAATAAACACACACATATATGTATTCATTTGCCTTTTTGCCTTTTTTATGTAGGGTTAAGGGCTTTTCTTTGAGTATATGTCTACCTGGTAGAAGTTCCAAACCGTCTTTCTAGCTTAAACCACAGCCATAATTTATAATTTTCTATTTGTTTCTTCCCAGCAGGGCGAGAACTAAGATTCTTCTAAATAATTCCAAGTGGAGCATCATTATGGACTTAAAATAATTTCTCTCCAATGTTTTATATTTCTGTTCACACCTAATTTGACATTTTTTAAAGCAACCTGCCTTTACTGAGTCTTTCCTAAGTAGGAAATGAGCAAAAATTTTTTTTTTTTTGCCCTCACATTTATTTGGCTTGTACACTATTTAATTAAATTATGTAGTTACCATTATAAGTACACCTTGCGTAAACATGGTTGAGAATAAAGACATCTGGTTCCTGGTTAGTATAGGGCTTACCTGGCAGGAGTGAACGTGCTAGACAGCAGCTTGCCAGCCTCGAGCCTTCAGTGTATGTGGGTGTGTTTGGCTGTTGTACAGAGGAAATGGAGAGAGCTGGTCAGTTAAGTGGAGGCCAGTTTAGAAAGTGTCTGCAGTATCTGAAAGCAAATTAATGTGTTCTTTAGTTGTTGACAGTTGGACAGCTTAT